CAAACCCAGGTTATATCTTAACACAGTGTGTGAAGCAAACCCAGTCAATGGTGGTTTAGTCATCCAGAGTAAAATAAACCATGGCTTAGTCAACAAAGTGAACATAGCCATTATCTCACTTTTTGCCAGATTTTCCTGCTCACCTTAAAATAAAGCTTCTGAAGGTCATTTCATTTCAAAGTAGTTGGACATCTCAAATCAGATTTCATTTATTCCTCCTTTTGTTAAAAAAAAATATATTTTTTTCTCTTTCACTTCCCTTCCTCACCATTATGACTGATGATATATCATTGTTTCCTGGGAGGGAAGAATCATATCTCTTGGACCGTTGAGCCCTTTGGTCCTCATCTGAAGAACTGCATCTGCTCTAAAGATGCCTGTTACTCTCCCTTTCCTGCTCCTTACAATCTGTGAGTACCGGTGGGAGGGATCTCTGAGGCTCTATGACCCTTCGTCCTGGGGACAGTTCTTCTAGAGTTAGAGCTGGACCTACCACTGGGGGACAAAGGGGCTGCCTGCCAGAGTAAGCTGATTTGGGGTGTTATGAAAAGGTAGAAAATGAATAACTATTCATTCATTTATATTACAGTGTTTTAACTGGAGAAGAGTGAGGAGAGGTTCCCTCCCTTCCTTCCTTCCTTCCTTCCCCTTCAAATCAGTTTTGACTTCTGGCAACTGTCTGGACAAGTCCCTGCAGTTTTCTTGGCAAGATTTCAGAAGTGGTTTGCCATTGCCTCCTTCCTAGGGCTGAGAGTGAGTGACTGGCTCAAGGTCACCCAGCTGGCTTCGTGCTTCAGGCGGGACTAGAACTCACGGTCTCCTGGTTTCTAGCCTGGTGCCTTCACCACTACACCAAAGTGGCTCTTGAGGTTTTCTACCAGGCACAATAACTTGCAAGGGGAGGATGAGAGTTGCTGCTTCACCTCAGGCAGCATTGTATGTGGACCTGGCCCTTGGCTTAGGGATTGGGGTGATGTGTGAACCCAATCAATTGCAACTGATTCTGCAAACTATAATCAAACAAACAATGGCGTGACACTGAACCAGGGTGTCATGTTACTGTCAGCCTTCCCCAATCCAACACCTTCAGGTTTTGCTGGGACTGAAATGTTTGGAGTTCTAGAAGTTGCAACCCAACACATCTGGGTTCATCAGGTTGGCCAACTCAGATATAAGATAAAAAGCTATTTCTGAACTTCTTAGCGATCTTCTGTCCATAGTTCTGCAGACAGAATGCTTGACCTGGATTTGGCATAACGTTCTCCCTGTCCGTATTCACACAACTGGCTGAGCCATGAGAAAGAGTTAATGAGGACATGCCCACAGCCATTTTAATGTCTCTTCCTCCTTCATGCTCATTAACCAGAGATAGAGGCTTATCCCAGGCGGTACATATGATCAAAATTCAGAGTAGCTATTATTGTTTGAGCTACCAGATCAGGGCTGCAAAAAACTAAATGACCACTAGAAGGCAACAAAAAGATGCATAACTAATCCTCTGCTGCAATCTGGTGGTTGTCTGGATTCTTGCAGTCCAGACTGATAGCTGTAATCATTGTTGGTTTGCAGAAACCATTGAGTTTTATTTCAAGTTCTGGTTTCCATGACCCCCAACAGTGGTCAGTCCAGGTTTGGAGAGGACAGGACACCAAGTAAAATGGTGGTGCATTTATCTTTATTCCCTCTTACCTGTGGCTTTTTTTTGGGGGGGGGGACAAATGTAGACTCTTTTTGGCTGGCATTATGCATCATCTTACAGCTTGGTTTACCTAATCATGGTTGATTGAGTAAACTATAGTTGGTATGATTCACAGTGTGCCTTAAACCAAAACCAAGCAAATCATATTTGGCTCGGCATGTTTGATGATCCAACCCTTCCGTCTCTTCCTAGCTCTGCCAAAGCCATCCATTGTATGGCTCCCAGCTCCAGATGCGATGGAAAAGCACTACCTACAGTGTTCCACCCAGGAGAAATATGCAGGCAGCTGGTTCTACTTATACATGGGAAGCAGCCAGCAGCCCATGGCTCAAAAGAAAGCTTTGCCAACAGAGTCTAGTGCCATCTTTGAGGTTGATGGGGTTGGCCCAGATGATCAATTCCACTGTAGCTATGAAATCTGGGAGGCTGGGAAGACATTCCGCTCCCCCCTCAGCCACCCTGCAAACATCACAGAATGTGAGTATTAAGCTAGCTAGCTGTCTCTCTGTCTGTCTGTCTGTCTGCCCATCCATCCATCCATCCATCCATCCATCCATCCATCCTATTATTGATCCATCCATTCTATTATCCATCCACCCACCAACCCACCC